ATGTTCTTTGGTATTTTTTCTTTCGATTTTACTCTTAGCTAGTTAGCTTCCAATAAAGAGTCATATTGACGCATATATTACGCCATCACCGGATCAGCGTGTCTAACGCCTTTCAAATCAATGTACTCCTACCACACAGCTTTGTGTAATTAAAGTTGTTCGATGTACACATACTTATACACCTAAATTTGCACAAATAAAGTTTATAAGGTTTTAAGATAACTTGTATAAACCACAAAAAATGTGAAGTAAAAGTTTCTCTCTAAAATTTATCAATATCACGTACAATGTGATTTAAAAACCAAGTATTGTTGTATAACAATTTGAACTTATATATTGCCATGTATACTCAGCGACGTGTAAAACAACTTTTTCTTTGTGTAATAGGAAACCAAATAGTTTACCGATTACTTAGATACGAAATTATGGCTTAAAATTTCAAGTCTAACATATGCTCCCAGGTTTGATTTCAACCGCTAGTTTTGGTCTATTTAATTCTAGTTAATCTATACTGGTCTGTCTAAGTATGATCTAACGAAGTCTAATATTGTGTTTACTTCTTTATTATCTATATATAATCAAGCTTGTTCTTGTCTGATCGGATATGACCTGAATCCAAATGTGTAAAGAACATCATTTTTAAGGAGTGTTTACAATAACATAAAAAATGATATCAATATTTGCTTCTAAAACTAAATGTTGCTTATTTAAATAGATCAAGAAGTGTTTCTGTTTAAAGTTAAGCAATTAAAAATTAGAAGTTGAAAACAAAAGGAAGCAAACTAAAACTATTTTTTATTTTTCCTATTGCACAGAAAAAACTTTTAAATTTCATTTTATCTTTTTCATTTCAAGCACCATGAACATCCACTAAGTAGTACTACTTCCGTCCCATTATGTTTGGGATGCTCGACCGACGACAAAGCAAACATATCGTTGTCCGCACTCAAATTATTTTTAGAAAAAGAATTAAATATTCAGAAACTACATTAAAAACTTTACAAAGTCGCAAAAACCAAAAATAGATTTGATAAAAAATTGATGTATAAAGTAAGAGATTAAGAATGATTTGTTTTGACCAAGAGAATAATGTCTGAGAAAATCTTAGCGGAACAGAGGGAGTATTAATTAATTTTCATTTAAAATCTTTAAAATAAATCCCATCCCGAAAACAAAAACAAATGCCAAAGCTTCTTGTGAAAGATAATTAATCACTCATAGATAATTTACTTTAGCATCTTACATTACTCATTCATTTCGTGTGTGGAATCAGTCTCATATTCCACACTACTTTGACTGGACCAAATACAATGCTACCATCGTAACCATATTTGTTCACTACACATTCGGTGTGGATCGAATTTTTTTAGTTGACTGAGTACAAATGCGACATCTTCAACGTGTGTTGCGGCAGCCACCCCGCAATCAGCAGCAACTTAGTAATTAAGAACGTGTATTGTGACTTGTAACTCTAGTAATTATTATAAGGAAAATTAAGTTTCCAATAGTAAAAAAAAGTTTGGGGAGTAATTATTAAAAAATGGAAGGCCCAAAAACTGATGTTGACCAGTAAAAAAGTTACAAATAAATACTCCGTAATCAAGGAAGAAATTAGCTCCAAAATTGACCAGTCATCACATATCTACACTTCTTCAGTCTCGACCATACACTAATTAAGTAGGTTTACCGGCCAAATCAGAGCTTTGATCTAGCTAGCTTTCCCCACTCTTCTTTGACTGATCTCTTGCACTTATCTGCCCGGCCCACCCACCAACTCATTACACGACGTGTTACCTCTTACTCTCTTTCACGTCAATTCTTTTCCATCCTTATTTTTACTTCAATTAGATAGCTATGCCACAACCTATATCTTACTTGTATAGGATATACGGAGTATTTATGAGAAAAGTGTTGGGTGTACTCGTTTTTACTTTTCATACGTGTGTCTGTCTATGTGAATAAAGTTGTCTGTATACAGATAACTCTATGATCTCTACAGAGTTGTCTGCATACACAAACAAGTGTGTCAATTATGTGCACAAAAAACATGTACACAAATTGTACGTGCAATGAATCACGGCCATAAGCGAGGATTAATAATGACAGATTGACGGCCGCGGTTCAATTGACGTTCACACACACTATTAACAAGTTCATCACAACAATATCACACTATCAAAGACATAATGAGAGATCAGAGAAAGTTTGAAGTCCAATTTCCAATTGATTTTGAATTTGAGTTAATTATGATTAATTATGAAGAAGGTGGGGAAAACCCCACTAAGTACAACAAACTAGTACGTGCATAAATTGTAAATAAGTTTGGTGTGGTAGGGTATTACGTACATTTAATAAGTTCTGCAATACTAATTGAGGCAATTGGATAAAAATTAGAGCTAGGTTAAATATGATTAACCTCTTTCGTGACACTAATTAACAGCATTGAACTGATATGCGACCTTCAAACTTGGACCTTCACATAAACCTCAATTGTGATTATTAACCTCTTAGGCACTAATAACAGTAAACTAAACTCTAAACGAGACATTCGAACTCCAGCACCAAATAAATAAATATGAAGCTTTGTTCGACCACTTCTCTTTAATTTATATTTCCTCATGTTGGATGAAAATCGTCTAATCTTATTGAGTTCTACATGGAGTTAAAAGAAAGAAAAGTCTCCCGCTCAAAACGAATCGTTGGATCATTCGAAAGAGTCCTTCAAATTAAATTGAGCTCGGCGGCTCCGCTACATCCTTCAAACCGAACTATATGGGCCGGTAATGGCGAGGACAAACTCTTCTTGGCACGGATCATAACATATTGTTGGCATGGCTCCGTGCAAAATTCCTAGTCACAAATTAAAACGGTGTTGCCATTGAAATTGCCCTGGCTTTGACACACCATGCCAACTCCGTGGCAAGTACTCTTAATTTTGACGCATATTTGTCAAAGAATTGTGCCAAATCAGCATTTTTTGTAGTGAAGCTAACGCCCGTGTGTGTACTAAGTTATTACTGTAACCAATTAACCAAATGTGTTTATATCTAATTTTTTATAGTAATTTTTTTGGTAATAAATTATTAATTTGACTGATAAGTTTATTTAATGTTAGATTGAACATAGCATTATAGTAGTTCCGACAAATAATAAATTTGCGGTGTATCGTAGTGTTCATTTGTTTGTAGTAACGTTAGACTTCAGTGATAAATTACGGAAGTATTGCATAATGTTTGATCCGTTATGTAATTCACATTAATAACTTACGACATTAGCTTTGAATAATTTTAAGATCTCTAGCTATTTTCCCAACATGGTGGGCAAAATAACATTTTTTTATACTTTACCATTGGAAAAAAGGTATGTTATATTTGGTGAAATTAAACCTACATTCGATTGGAATATTTTGACACGCATTCACATAATTAATTGATTTAATCTTTGTTTTTAAAACAACAAACTCATGTCTACTATATATACTTCGTATATGGCATCTATAATAATGAATATAAAGATCTTAATTCATAATCAGTTCTATTTTGTTACATGAACAAATTTACAATTTATTTCAAGTGTGCATATAGGATTTTTTATTTTCATTTTATTTCTTTATTTTGAATTTTTTATTATCTCGGTAGGCAAACACCAAAATCAATGGATAAATGCCCGAGAACATTTTCCAAGATTTATTAAAATATTTCTTTATTTTGACATAAACATGCATTTCATTTTAGAAAGGATAAGAATATAAACGCAATTCTCACTACTTTAGTCTGGCAATTACCAATTTCAATCCATACTCTAAGAACTAAGATGCTCTTACCAGCCTACACTCCAAACAGCTCAACATACAGTATATGCTTGGAATCTTTTATTGATATAAATACTCTAATATATGAGTCTCATTACTTATTTGTTAAAACATGACCATTGCTTATTTTCTAATATAAAAGCGATTTAAATTGGACAAAACTGTTCCAATTTGTAACTTTTTATCACTTTCACCACTTCCAAATGTTACTATCGACATCAAGTCACTGTCAAATGCTAGGACTTTTTTTTTTAAAGAAAAACCGTCTGATGAAAATTCAACGATAAAATTAAGTGTCAATGACATGATTGCCGATGACACGTGGGCGAATGGCAGTGGCCTCCTAGTCACTCAAACCACATACAAATAGTGAATAATAGTCTTTTTCTGAATATTTTGGAATGCAATTACATTATTTTCTGTAAACATTATTTTCAAATATTCAAAATACTCCATTTCTTTTACTATAATTATTAAAGCATTCAAAGTATATATACTCCATTTCAGGCCGTATCAAATTAATAGTCACATTTCCATTTGCAAAAATGAATCTATCTAAAAAACAACAAAAGAACATTTTAATAAAGTATATAATAATGTTACACCATAAAAAAACTCTTACTTCTTAAAAAGTCGACAAAAAATCAATAAAATTATAGCATTATACGTGATATTAAACTACGTGACAAATCTATTAGGATACTTATGATGATATAGAGGGACTAATAACAAAGCACCTATTCCATTCCATGCTTTCTTAATGAACATAAAAGTATCCCTTTTCCTAATAAAAGTGGCTATATACGATTCTTCATATAGTTACTTTTTTAATACAAAAACGTTTACCTTTTTCACCTAACTAATGTACAAAAAAACTTACTTGCTACAAATAAAACAATCTCAGCCGCTCTGTCACACTCACACTCTAGAGTGGTTCATAAATAAATTGTGTATATATTTTTTGTATTTAAATAAAAAAAGAGAGTGGGCATAAAAGGAAGTGTAATAAAAGCCGGCCGAAAATATCCAAAAACGGGCCTGGGCGATTCTTATCTTAGTAAAAAATGGCGATTACCAATTTCAATTCAATTCGTGGACAACACCTTCACCGCCATTACTTGACGCAACTTCCAAACCTCCTCCGCCGTCTTCGCTATATAAACTTTGCTTCCCTCTCTCTCTTTCACTCATACCCACTTGTCTGTTGCTTTACTCCTTCCATCAGTTACTCCCTCTCTCTCTCTCTATAACTACTTTCTCCAGATTTCCGCCGATCCTGTGATTCGGTTCAATTCCGACAGATTGCCGATCGCCATGGCCCTCGAAGCTCTCAAATCTTCTGCCGTTCTCGCGCCGCCGCCCCTCCCGCCGCCCTCCTGCGGTGAGGTCGTCGATGACGGTCACGGCTTTAAGAAGAAGCGGTCCAAGCGTCCTCGCTGCGAAAACGCCGTGCCGTCCGAGGAGGAGAAGTACTTGGCGCTCTGTTTGATCATGCTCGCCCGCGGGGAGGATCCCAGCCGCCGCCGTGACGCGCCGGCTTCGGTTAGTGGAATCGATAAGGAGAAGCAAGCGTCACCGCTTCCGCCTCCTCCTCCTCCACCGGTTTCCGCCGCGCAGGACGGTAATCATCATCATAATCCTCATCAGCAGCATAATCAGAATCATCAGGAGCAGTCTTATAAGTGCAGCGTGTGTAATAAAGCGTTTCACTCGTATCAAGCACTTGGCGGGCATAAAGCGAGCCACCGAAAGCATATTGCCGGCGCCGCCTCGGACGAGAACAATCCGTCGACGTCAACTTCAACGGCCGCCGCCTCTCACTCTTCTGTTCTGAACCCGACTGGTAAGGCGCACGAGTGCAACATCTGCCACAAGTCGTTCCCCACCGGCCAGGCCTTGGGAGGGCACAAGCGCCGCCACTACGAGGGGAATCTGGGAGGAGGGAACCGTGACGGCGGAGGCGGTCCGAGCGGAAGCGCGTTGACCTCGTCGGAAGGCGGTGTGTCGAGCCACGCGCCTCTGGACTTTGACCTGAACCAGCTCCCCCCGACCGAGTTACAACTGGGCCTCAGCGTTGACTGCGGGATGAATATTCAACTTTCCGGCGAACAGGAAGTAGAAAGTCCCATGCCGTGGAAGAAGCCGTGTTTGTCGTCCTTTCCGATCGACTGGGATCTCAGGGAATCTGATGCTAAATAAAACTCAATTTTAGTTTCCCAATTGGTGATCGCATATACTACTTTCCATATTAATTAGAAGCCCTTATTAGCTTGATGTACTGAGAGTGAATTGGTCTTTGATTTGGTTGATTTAACTCTCTTTGTTCATTATTAATTAGCCCATATACTGGTAAACATTCATTAATTCTATAGGGATTGAAAATTAGTACTATATCTCTCTGTCTGATATCTCTCTTTCATGAAATTTATTAATATTAAATTTGTAATTAAAATATGAATTGTATGTGTGGTGGAAACTGAAGAAACGGTGGTGCATGAAATTGCACGACCTAGTGCCCCTCTCTGGTTGGGTTGTCCATGTGGTTTGTGCCTGATCCTTGTTGTATTTATTATTATCTATTCTTATCTTATTATTGTTAGCACAATAATAATTAGTTGGAACTTCCCTTTCTAGTCCCATTACCTACTGTTTCTTAAATTTTTATTTCACTTTAGGCAACTAATAAAACTGAACTTCATCACTCATTAATATAGAAGACTTTTGTTAAGCTCCTAATAAAGTTGAGTTTTTAGTCTACCGTACAACTAGTAGATCGAGAGTGGTAGAAGGGGAAATCATGTATAAAGGGTAAGTCTCGAATTCGAATCTTGTTAATCGATAGATAGATTCCTGTCAACCGATAAAGAGTTGTAGAAAGAGCAAGTCTTTGGTTCAAATTTTCTCAACTGATAGAACTGATAGATAGAGAGTGTGGTACACGGATGAAAAGTTATGATATTAAAAATGTAAGTACTTAGAACCACAATACATCCGTTACTGAGTTAATTGTATGATTTTAAAAATGCAAGTACTTGGAACCACAATACATCGGTTAACAATTTACATTTTCTGAGTTAATTGTCCAACGGAAGCTGAAGGCCTTTCTTGGTAGGGTTTCATCCTATTGTAAGAATTTAGTGTTAGTTAATATTGATACTGGTACAATTTGACACATCTTACATTTTACTTGAACTAAAGGGTAGCTAAAAGGGTAGCCAGGATTATATTCTAAAATGAGAGATAACTTTTCTTGTGGGAATAGTTGTGAATGGGGGGAGTATATATGCTAAACTTGGAAGAATGTTGAATTTGAATGGAAGTGATACTCTGTGGCCAGCGCAGGGAAGAAGTGTTTGTTTAATTACCAAGTTTTCGTGGCTACCAAGTGTACAGCGTTTGCCTTCTTTCTATCTAATAATCGAGTCTTCGGGATCAAGTAACCGCAATTCAGGGATTGGAGTTTTAGTCAGATACTGCCAACTTATCATCATAATTCATTACGCAAGCAAGAAATGGATAACAACCACCGTTTTATATATGGATGCCGCCAATCATCCATACGGTCTAATTCATCATTCCATTTTATAAAGGCCCGACTTGGTTCATACGGGTCACTGTCAGCCCAGCCCATTATTTGAAGTATAACATGGAGTAGAGTATTTAGAATCTAACCTATTCAGCCCTACTAAGTTTTTTTTGGGTGAAAGCCCAACTAAGTTAGTCCACAAATTTAATTATGCTTTGTACTAGTATGTGTACCCGTGCATTGCACAGTAAAATACGTGTTAAACATTTCTTTAAATTATAGAGGCTGGGATTTGTCAATTAGAATTTAAAATAGAATTCAATTGGATATGAATAGAGCTGTCAAAATGAGTCGAAGTCTAGAGGGCAATGAGTTGTTGTTTTTTAACTCGATGAAATGGCCGATTTTGTGTGTCAATCTGCAAGGGTTATAAGTGAAGTGGGTTGGCCCACCAAGTTGCGAGTTGGTCAATATACAAACATTTGATTTTCACTTTCATTATTTTCAGTGTTGATCGTCTACAACCAAAATCATTTTCAATTATATACTTATTATTTTACAATCAATTTGTTGAACTATTATGTCTAACAATTATTCAAATAAATTACTCCAACATATATTTACGTTTTAGTTGATTTTTTTTTTAAACCAGTAGTAGTCATTTTTTACAAATATTTACTCAAAATATCTAATTGTATATTTATTTTTGTATGATGAGTGCTTTTCTATATACCATTTAATAGTTATTAAAATTTAGTATAAGAATGATTTAACAACATTTTTCATTCAACTTATCAAGTATTATGTACTTAGTATATTGAGAATGAACATATAGCGTTAGAATTGAGAATTATGTATTATGTGAAATTGAAGAGTGCACTACATAAACCACAAAATAAAATTACATTTTTGTAAATAAATTCAACTTTTTCTGCCCTTTGAAATTGTGAGTTATTTAAATTGTAAGTGTGTGCCTCCATTAAATATATATATATATATATATATATATATATATATATATATATATATATATTCAAATGAGAATCATGCTTAATGTGAGAACTCCACTTTTAAGCAGATGTGATGCCTATACATATATCATGTATATGTTGCACATTTTCATGTTGACGAAATATTTAGAAATCTGCCATCACATGTGAAGCAGATGTTGAGGCCTATATGGCGGCTGCTGATGTTATGAAAGATTGGGTTCCGTGCATGGGTTCTCAAGTTGTACGAATTTTGAAAAATTCTCAAGGTGCTAGTTCATCTTCTCAATCGATGGCTAGTGAAGAGCGGTGGCCCGTCTTGAGAGAGAATTGCAAAGAGAGTGAGAACTCAGAGAACTCCGAGATGAAGAGAACTGAGAGAACTCCGAGATGAAGAGACTAGGAAAGAAAGGGAAAAGATGGAGCATATGAAAAGTCAATTGAATGAATTCTTTGTGAACTGGCGGGCTCCCATGCAGCAATCCCAAATGCAGCCTCAGATGCCGCCTCAAATATCATTCATGAGCATGGGTTTCAATTCTAGCACATGGTTTCAAATGCTGACAAACATGCCTCGAATGACCCCGCCTTTTCCGTATGGGTATCAATCATTTTTACACCCGGTGGTCAATACAGTCGAGGCGGCTGACAAGGTGAAAGTCAAACTGGTCAACCCGAATCAAATTCTCAACCTAGGATATCATCTCATTTTTGAATTCCAACGATCAAGACGGCCTCCCGAATCTTTAATACTTCCTCCGTTCTTTTTTAGTTGCAACCGTCAACATTTGCACATTTACACATTTGCCAACGCACACATTTGCCAACGCACACATTTGAGTGTAAGTATGTCTTAATCTTTATTAATAAAAAAAAATACTAAAAATCAGATTTTGAAAATTTGTAATGAGATGAATTGAAAAATATTTTTTTTAAAAATAATTTCCATAAAATAATAATGTAAAATGTAGTCAAAGTAGATCATGTGAACAGTGCAAAAAGTCAACATTTGCAATTAAAAAGAGACGGAGGATAATAGTTCTAGTAGATTAAATTTCAATTTCTATTATTTATTTTGATGTTTAGGATTTTTAAATGTAATACTTTGCTTGTCACGAATTTAACCCGTGACAAATTTGAATTATGTATCCGCCATTTTATTTGTCATGCTATAAAAGAAAATTTAATTTCTTTTAATGCAAAAATGTTTGTCACGGATCCCGTTCGTGAGTCGTGACAAATTTTGATTTTTTTTTATTTCCGCCCTGTTGTCATGGATCTCGTCCGTGACAAAATTAAATTTGAAAAATTTGAATATTTTGTCACGGATTGTACGTTGTCACGGACGAGATTCTGTGACAAATGTCAAACCGGAAGGTGCCACCAATGATCTTTTTGTCTCAGGTTGGTCCGTGACAATGTTTTGTCACGAATTTTTGGCGGTGACAAATGTTTTTGTCGTGGATTGTTGTGGTACCATTCGTGACAAAAACGCCGATTTTTTGTAGTGTAAATCGTAGTGTTCCGAATAGTAATAGTTGATAATTGCCATTAGTAAAACTATAGTTGGAATTATTTATAACTTACGCATATTTCGCATTTAATTGACTTGCTATACCAAGGTGTAGTTGGTTAGACACTATTTTTGAAAAATGGTTTCTATAATTGAGACCACTCATTAATGATCGATAGTTTGGATTATTAATATCCGACGGATAATAACTGAGATTATTATTTTCAATTTTTCCTAATTAATATTTAACGTCCTAACGTTTTTGTGCTTAATGCTTTGAGACGTTGAGTCGAACTTTTGAAACAATCCTCAAATAACTTAAAAAAATACTCCCTCCGTATCAAATTAATTGACCCGTTTCTTTTTCACGCAGTTTAAGACAATTACTATAGACTTTATTAAAAGTAAGAGGTTTTTGGTACTGTAGCGGTACTGTAGCAGTACTGTAGCTGCTTTTTGAGTGGGATTCTTTCCAAAAAGGGAAATGGGTCAATTAAATTGATACACCAAAAAAGGAAAGTGAGTCAATTAATTTGATACGGAGGGAGTATAAAGCAAAACTTGAACACTTTATAATACTCCGTACTATGTACATGTTAACTAGGCATTTAAAGATCGACAATATAAAGTCATTCTAAGGATCCGCAATCCAACTCCGTCAATAAATCAAATTTCTCACCAATTTCTACGTATTCACTCAGTCAATTCAGTTTTCACCATAATCCAGCACCGTCAATATATTCACCGAGCAACATTGTTCTTAAATTAGTTAAAGCCTTCTTTTTATTATTATACATCATTTTTTTGCCAAATATTTTTTTTTTGAATAATTATAAATTTAAAAGTCAAACATTCCGATGTACTCCCTCCGTCCCTTATAACTTTGCCAACTTTCCTTTTTTGGTTGTCCCAAAAACTTTGTCACTTTCCCTTTTAATCAATCAATTTGTGGCTCCTGTTATTTCTCTCTCCTCTACACAAATTTCTACCACACAGTTTTTACTTTATTATTCTACGTGCCGGTCAAACATGGCAAACCTTTAAGGGACGGAGGGAGTAAAAATAAATAAATTGGGAGTCTAATTTTGTTGATTTTAATTTAGAACTAATTTTGAAAGAAATAATGGAAAGATGTAAAAAAGTATTTTAATCATAAGGTCTTAATTTCAGCACCTAAACTTATTTAACAACAATTTTGAACATAAGAATCTCAAGCAGATGAAAGTTCAATATTTTTTAATTTCTTTAATATATATGATATTGGTGTCATATGAAAGATCATAAAACACTAAAAAAAATGGTATATTTTTTTTTTATAAAAAATTGAGTTTGAATACAATAGTTAAAACAAATTTAAAAAAATTGGGATTTTTAATATTCCATGCCCCACACTTTTAAATTGACATGTACGTACGCATAAGGGCCCTACTGTGACTATATTTCTCCCCATCAATAAGCCTCCAAATTCCCACGGTGCCAGTTACCCACTTTCCAACCCACAAATACATGGTGATGAAGTATATGGCCCTGGAACCCCCGGTCCACAAACTCCTACTACTCTATCACAGGCCCAACAAGCCCAAGAAGCGAAGGAGGCCCAAGACACAGCGG